TGAGACGTGTGACGTAGGCCTGCTGATGGGAACTCCCTCTGACAGAATGAGAGGGTTTCCCCAGTGATTCAGATTGGTTCTCACGGAGGGGGGCACAAAGATAATCCACCTCTTCTGGCACACAGGATCTATGCACAGGCGGGCAAACCATCTCTGAAGGCATCTCATGTGAAGTAGGCCCAGCGGAACCACCATGTGGGCCGCTGACATTGTCCCAGGGGTTGCATGACAGGCAGAACTGTCACTATGCGTCAGGGTTTGACACGGCGGAGCTGGGTTTGACACGGCGGAGCTAAGCTGACGGAGCTTTGGCTCTCAGCTGTGATAAACGGGCTCTCATTGTAGTTGAGTTTAACTCCACTTCCAGATAAACAATCATCTGGGACGGACGAATGGAAGTTTTTCCCAGTTTATAGAAACCCCAGGTTTAGCAGGTGTAACACTAGCATTTTGGTCTGTGCGACTGCTTCCTATCTGGACTGAGCTAATAAGAGCAGATCGTCCAGATAAAAAGAATTCTCATTCTTGCCATGTGTAACGACTGCAGAGCCGTCTCCACGCATTTCGAGAACGTGCATGGGGTGTTTCAGAATGATGGAAATGTGAAAATATGCCCTCTTCAGATTTATGGAGGTGAAAACCAGTTGTTCTGGTGAAGTTCTCCAGCAGCTGTTTGTCAGCATGTGGAATTGTCACCCCATGATCTAATTGCTAAACATGAACAGGTCGAGAATGGGTCTTATCTCTCCATTTTTTTATCAGAACCAGGAAGTAGTGGGAGGAAAAAACCTCCGTTGGGAACTCTGGAAATCATGTTTTTCGTCAGAAATTCCTGAACTTCTGACTGGAGAGATGAGCTCTGTTCTGGAGAAGACAGAACTGTCTCTATGATCCCTCTGAACGGTGGGGGTTGAGCTGCGAACTGCAGCGTGTAACCCCTTCTGATCAGACGATACGTCCATCTGTCCAGGGAACACACTCGCTGCCACTCTAACGCTTGGAGAGCGGGCATGCATTTGTGTTGTCATGTTTCTCATGAACGTCAACCAGACTAAAAATCCTTACTGCCATCACTCGCTCCGGAGATTCTCTGGGGGGAAACCCAAGGAGGGCTCCAACAGAAAAAGGGCTGTATGTGTGCCTCTGTGCTGAGCCCAGGCTGCGGTCGCACATAGAGCTGAGGTGAGCTGGCATGCACTAAGAGGAGGCGTGAGCGCTTTCTGAGTGAGACGCCATTTCGGTGGAGGCTGCAGCTGTCGTGGAGAAAACATTTTTACTCTCGCTGCGCTGTGAGTGGGCAGAAAACAGCAGAAATTAAAAATGGGCTCTGGCTGAAAACGAGGGATTTTACGGGACCCGGTCTGCTGAAAAAACATAATTTTAGCTGATGTGGCAGACGAGTGTTTGTGATATTTACTGAACTGCGGTGCCATTTAAAACGCTGTTTTGAAGTTACTGGCTCATTCTGTGTGGGGAATGTGTGAAGAGAGGCAGCTGTGAGCTCAGCTGATCTGACAGTCTCAGATGAAAAAACTTTATATTCAGAGGTGTATCTGTTGTATTTCAAAAAACATACATCATCAAAAAACACATACCTTCCCCTCAAGGATCTGTTACCTGGTGGATGGGGCTGGTGGAGGAGCTGGGCATGAAGTTGCTGCCACAGCTGTGGAGCGCCTCTGCTACTGTTGCTGGCCAAGGCGGTCCCTCCAGCGGCCGGAGGGGCAAGAGGAGGACTGTGACGTCACCAGATGGTGTACAGTCTCTGAGACTTCCTCGGACCTCTGCGATTTCTCAGGGATGGTCCTGAAGTTGGCCCCGAACAGCACCTCTGGGGTGATGGGGCCCTCCAGCAGGTCTTTCTGCAGCCTCTCGGACAAGGATGGTGAGAGGCGGAGCCAAGTGGCCCTCTGGATCATGGTCATCCAGGCGGCGATGCAGGACAGGCAGACTGCAGAGGTGGCACATGTTTAAGATGACATCAGCAGCTTTATAGAGAGAGCTCTTTGTCTCCTCCAGCAGGTCTGCTTCCTCCAGCCTCTTAGAGATGCTGTAGGCCAGCAGGGCGACGTTGTTGTTCGCTGCGGCCGTCTGGAATGTGCACTGGTGAGCTCGGTTGGAGACCTTGTCACCATCTGGTCATGCTTCCCTAGAGGGACAGGTTGCTGGTCCATCCTGGAAGCTTTTGCCCCAAGTGCCACTGCCAGGCTTGGCTTCAGGGGGGGACCGAGGGGAAAAAACACCCATCGGTAAAACCCTCCACTCTGGAGATGGAGGCGCAGGTGGAGACGGATGTCTTCAGCATGCCGGGCCCAGCTGCAGCCTTGTTCCAGTGTGACGTCACAGCTGTACAGCGAGGCCAGATGGGGTCAGGGTGACGAGCCGAGGCGGAGCCAACCTTGCCGCCAGATCATCCGATCAGGGCGGAGGGAGGCGAGGGACAGAAAGTCCCTTGTGTTAACATCCTCCTGGATTATGCCAGGCAGCTCCAAGAGGAGGGCACCGATGGCTGGGAGTAGTGTGGTCGATGACGTGGGAAGATCTGAGGTGGCTGAGCATCCGTTCGGCCACTCGTCTTCCGTCACTACGCTTTCCAGGAGGGAAAGGACAGCTCCACATCGCTTTTCTCTGAGAAATCATTCACAGACATCTACACCTCCAGATGCAGGAAGAGGGCTACCTGCATCATGAAGGACCTCACTCACCCAGCACACACACTTTTTGCCCCACTCCCCTCAGGAAGGAGGTTGAGAAGCATTAAAGGCTCCAGTATACTGCCGCGTACATACGCGTGTACTGTACGCAGAGGGTTCAGACATGATACTCCAGCGTACACCCCGAGCAGCTGCAGAGCAGCTTCACAGACAAGGGGCGTTTACCTTCGAGATAAATTGAGGTCACCAATAGGTCATTTGCTGACACGCCTACTGGATTGATTGACAGGTCGGAAAAAAGAAAAAAAAGCGAGCGCTGGCAGCCTCACTCGCAGCGGTGTTCTGTGTTTATGTTATTAATAAGAAGATCTAAAAATTTTTTTTTAAAAAACAGGGAGCGCTGGCTCTACAGCCCACACATCAGACCAGCACACCAGGAAATCTCCAGACCCTCCCGCAGCCATGCTAGACCTGAGTTTAATTCGCTCGTGACAAATTCCTTCATTTCTCACTATTTCAATCATTGCATCAACGGAGGAGGAAGAGATCACTTGCCTCTTGGCAAAAAAACAAAAGAAAAGGCCAGATCAGAGATGAAGAAGGGGAATTTAATACATTGGTGTCGCATACAAAACAGTCCGTCGCTGGGCAGTTTATTGTGCGACACCGCGTACGCGGTCGTAAAAATTTGAGCTTTGCATGGACATGCCCTGTGGGGTACGCACCTCTGCGTACGTACGTGCGTACCTCTGCGTATGGATGTACACGGCAGTATACTGGGGGCTTAAGTGTAGAACCACTAGACTGAGGAACAGCATCTACCCTGAGGCTGTTAGACTCATGAATCTCTAACTAGAATAATCACTGTGGAAAAAAATCACATCATGTTGCTGCTGATCTGTTTCATGTTGCTGCTGATCTGTTTCAATGTTGATGTGTTCATGCGTGCACATCTGCTCACACATACTCATGTTCATGTTTGTGCTGATGTTCAATGTTTTATGCTATGAGTGCTTAGTGTATATTTAGTTGATGTTTTTCTTAGTTCATATCTTAGATGTTATTACTGTTTTTCTTATACATTTTATTGTTGGATGTAACTGGGACCCTGTGTGCATAATTTCGCTCCACCACATGTACCACATGAGGTGCGAATGACAATAAAGAATCTCTTGACTCTGACTCACTGTAGTGTCTAAGCATCAAGGACTATTGTTATTATACGCCAGTTGCATGGAACAATACAAGCACTGGACCGGTATGAACAGTAATGATCAAACAAGAAAACAAACTGTCAGGTCATAGAAATCACTTAAATCACCACACATGCAAATGTACCTAACTTTTCACCCTCCACCCCCACCCCCTGCAAAATCCTGGATCCGCCCCCAGCTTACCACTGTTCAAGTTACTTGTTTAGTAATGAACTACTCACCTTATTGGAATTGATCAGCTCGAAGTGTTCCAACATTTCAGAACGGCTTTTCTTCCTGGTTGGCTCCATGTTGATCAACCACAAGCAATGATGAAAACGGCAACAAACCGTCATGTTGTGGTGTGTGTCGGGTGCCTTTAAGGTGTGTTTAGATGCGCGCAAGCCTCCTGAAACAAGTCTCACGTAAACGATTCATTCGGGGACCGAAGCAGTCACTGCTTCATACGTCATTGCTTACATAACTTGCTCTGCCGTAAAGCACGCTTATCAGCAGTGGTTCAAAGAGAATGTAACTTGGAGTTCGAAGCAAGGCTCGGAGCTTCGGCGTCAAACTGACATCACTAGTGAATAGCATTGAATGCTGTACATGCTCATATTTTTCATGTTCATATTTTTCAGTTGTCCAACATTTCTAAAAACCCTTTTTTTATTGGTCTTAAGTAATATTCTAATTTTCTGAGATACTGAATTTGGGGTTTTCATTAGTAGTCGTTTATAATTATCAACATTAAAAGAAATAAACATTTGAAATATCAGTCTGTGTGTAATAAATGAATATAATATACACGTTTCACTTTTTGAATGTAATTATACTGAAATAAATCAACTTTTTCACGATATTCTAATTTTATGACCAGCACCTGTACGTTGTTTGTATTGATAGATTTTTTTTGATGCCTTAAACCGTGCCCCGTCAAGGATACGCTGTGAGATCTCTTTTTTTTATACCTCTATCCTAATGTTTTCTTCCCCTTTTCTTATCTAAGTAATAAGGGCAGCGCTTCTTAGAAGCTGCAGCCCCTGTACACTTCCGTCCATCTTTAGGACAGCTGTACGGAATGTAATTTTGTTGTACTTCACTGTTCAATGACAATAAAGCTTATTCTGATTCTGATTTTCTCCCCCTACAGTATCCGCTCCTCCAACAATACCCAGGTGAACAAGCTGATGCAGACTGAGGAAGGCCAGGGTCTGACTGCAGAGGAAGCCCCAGTGGGGGAAGATGGAGTCCGTAGGGCCGTGGACAACGAGGAGGAGGCTGTGACCTACAGCTACTCATTTTTCCACTTCAGCCTCCTCCTGGCCTCCCTCTACATCATGATGACTCTTACTAACTGGTACAAGTAAGTATGACTCGTTTACTTCCCCTCGCACAAACCGACTCTCCTCTAACACTGCCTCCCCCCTCCCTACCAGGCCCGACACAGACTATGAATCCATGCAGACCACCATGCCAGCTGTCTGGGTGAAGATCTGCTCCAGCTGGCTTGGTTTGGGCCTCTACCTCTGGACTCTGGTGGCTCCAGTGGTGCTGCCGGATCGAGACTTCAGCTAAAACTGCAGCATCTTCATCTCAAATCTTTTTAATATTCCTTAAACCAAGAAGAGAATCTCCTCTTTACGCTTAGCTCACCACAAACTGAATTCTGCAATGATTTTAATGGTTCATTTTCTATCTTTATTTTTATTCATATTCAAGGTTTAAGTCTTCTTACTGAGCACTATATGCCTTACATAACCAAACTCTTATTCTTCTGATGATGTTGAAATTCAGGGGATTTTTTTCTGTTTTAGTTTTGATTTGTACTTGTGCCTTATTTTATTTTTGCACATATCTAACTTAGGGGGACCAATACTGTTTTGCATTTTAAAATTTTTACCAAAGTTTTTCTTCCTAAATGTTCACAGTTTATTACAATTTCCGATTGTTTTAAACCAAGTTAAAGACATCTTTCTGGACTCTAGATGTTGTTGTTATCTCCCTTGGATTTATATGGTTAAAGGTTTAAAATAAAAATAAAAAAAGTTGCCTTTGTTAGTTGTACTTATTTCCACACAGTAGTTTGTGTGTTTGCTCCTTATCCCTTCCGAACCTGCAGCGTCACTGTATGAAGTCAGTGAGGATTCTCAGATGCTTTGCTGCCCTTCTCTCTATGATCCCGGCAGCTCAGATGTGCTTTTGTATTCCTTAAATGCAGAATTTTCTCATCTAACACACTAGGGCTGGGAGATATGGACTCAAATTAATATCTCGATATTTTAAGATAAATCGTGATTTAAGATATATATCAATATTTTTTTCTTTCCATAAAGTAATAAAAATATATTTCTGAGTTAAAGCTTTGTCCCAGTTGTCACACAGGCACATTTATTCACAACAGCTGTAACTACAAAATCAATGTCTAAAAAATAAACTATTTACTAGGGGTGCACCAATAAATCAGTCAGCCGATTTATCGGCCCCGGTTTCCTTAATTTTGGGAAATCGGCCGATACTTGCATGAGAAACTGATTTTACAGATTTGTTTTTGTTTTAACAACAATTGTCTGAACTTCTTTTATATTTCAGAGCACTACCTCATGGCCAGTTAAAACAAGTTTGTATTGTTTCTAGGATATTGTTCAAGGGTATCAAACAATTTTCAGTCAGGTCATCTGGACAGTTTCTTTTTTTTGTGTGCTGAACCATTTCACCTTCCATCCAGAAGGCTTCATCAGTCAAGGAAACACACAAAAGCAAAATCCAAGATGGCAGCATGGTAATATGTTTGGTGTGTCTGAGCTTGTTTGTTTGTAGTAATTTTAATAGTTTTTATTGTCTTTCCCTTTACTGTTTCAGTGTTGTTGTTTTTTTGTTTTGTTTTACTTTTTTAACATTTTCTTCTTTAAAAACTTTTAATAGTTTTCACCCAAGTTATTTTTTCACTGAAGGGCCTTGCCAGACTGGGCCCTGTTTTGTTCGCCCTGGTCCACAGCCTGGGATTATTCTAGCCACTCTACTGCTTGAGGCCTACTTCATGGACACTGCTCCACAGACGTACTGCTCCATCCATCCTACTCCACATCCTGAAGATTACTCCATCCACTGCCTGAGGGTTACTCCATCCACTCTGGTTAGCAGCTTGAGGCCTACCAAAATCATCTGCTGTGTTCCACAGCCTGAAGGCTACTTCATCCACCTTGTTTCACAATTCAATGCCTATTCTACCAAGCCTGTTCTGCAGCTCACGGCATCCACTCTGCGCTGCAGCATATTTCTGTTACTCTGGTTTGCTTTCACCTGCACTGCAGCCCGAGGACTATTTTTACCTTATTGTGCACCATTCAGCTACCATCCTCTAGCATAGCTACTGATCTCACCATGGCAGTTGTAATCACCCTCTTGGTAATTTTGTATCATCTTACTGTCTTCAATCCTGAAGAAGTCAAAATCAGTTGGGACTCTCATGAACGAGTTGTGTCTACAATTCCTGAACATTAACTACAGCACCTAACACAGGTTGCCTTGAGTGTGGTCTGGGTACAATGAAATCTGAAGCAAAACCTGCTCCCATTTGTCCAAAAAGTCTGGTCTCAATTAAAGATCATGAGTCCTAGGACGAGATAACGACCCAAAACAAATGCTAAAAATAAAATTGGCTCTTTAGAAGTGTTCTATGAGATCTGATCTATGAAAGGAGCTGAAACATGGAGTAGGATTGACCCTTAAAATGTGAGACATCTGAGGAAGTTAACCAGTAAACAGAAATACCTGCTCCAATTGCAGAAATCTTACAGAAACTGGCAATCACTCATCTGTAGTGACTGCAGGTTAAACGAGACAATGTGACGTTAAAGGCAACATCCTTTGTCCCAAGGCCAGTTTAAGTATCATTAATATTTTTCTTTTATGAATCGATTGTAATTATTTTCACATTTTTCAACAACCAAAAAAAAAACAACCAAAAAACAGAAAAAACAAACACTTAGCCCTCCCCACTACCCACTTATGTTGCTCTTATTTTGAAATGTAACCAGAAATTCTGTGTTAAGAGAGGCGGATAAAGAAGTTATGGAGACGCCACAAGGCAGCACGGTGGCGCAACTGGTAGAGCTGCTGCCTCTCAGCGAGCAGGTCCTTGGTTCAAACCCCGGTCCAGGGGCCTTTCTGGGTGGAGTTTGCATGTTCTCTCCGTGCATGGGTGGGTTTTCTCCGGGTACTCCGGTTTCCTCCCACAGACCAAAAACATGCATGTTAGGCTGATTGGTAACTCTAAATTGTCCCTAGGTGAGTGAGAGAGTGAATGGTTGTTTGTCTCGTTTGTCTCTATGTGGCCCTGTGATGGACTTGCGACCCGTCCAGGGTGTACCCCGCCTCTCGCACAGTGATTGCTGGACATGGGCACCGGCGACCCCCGTGACCCAAAATGGAACAAGCGGGTAAAGATGATGGATGGAGACGCCGCTAATGTCAAACCGGTTAGCACCATAGACATAATATGCCTGTGGTTAACACAATCTGACAGTACCACACATCTCACTTGTAGTGAACTTGACCTAAGGTCAAAACCCTTGACCTTAAGAACCTTGTGGGACAGAAACTGTCATTTCATTGATTTGAATCCAGAAATACAGGTTCACCCATCCTGAGACTTTCTTTCTTGAAAATTCAAGTGAAAGAACACTCTTTTCTATTATCATTACTGTTTTACAAATGTTTGATAAAGTGTTTTAGTTCAAACATTTTAGATGTTACAGGGAACTAATCAATTTTATTAACTGTAAAACAGTAACAATGATTTTTTAGTTGCTTATGCAAAGTAGAATTCATGTTAAGGCCTGTTACAGAGTAATTATGCATTTTCTGATTTCTGTCTTTGAATGAGCAGTGTACGTTTTCCAAGGTCAGGAGTCGAAGCAGACAAGTGTTGGAACAACTGTCTTGTTTTTAAATCCTCTCAGACGTAAACAGAGAAGTTGGCACCTGTTTCTCCAAACTCGCCCAAACATTTCTCTCTCCTGTCTGGGAAACATTTTCAATCTGTTCCATAACATTCTTGCTGGTTTCTGACTTTCCATAACACCTTACATCACAAAACACACCCCTGTCTGGTTGATATTGACCAATCAGAAACTCTCAAATGAACCGGGAATAGAGCCCTTTAAAATGTCGGTACTTCCTAGTTCTCCCAGTTCTGAGATGTTCGCAGTTCTGTGAAGTCGTTGTTCTGTGAGCTGCCGTTGGAGTCAGGCTGGAGAGTTTGCAGCTCCAGTCGTTTGGGAGAACAGAACTCCAGCCATGATAAGGCTCTTCCGAGTTTGGGATTATAACATCTTCCACCTCCGAGTGGACTCGGACGAACCCCACTCATGTGAGGTCCACTCGTTGAGGTGAACTGTTGTTGATGAAGTCCCGTCACCACTCCGGATGTATCTCTGCCATCCTACGGAGACGCTGAAAGGTAGCGTTAACTGGAGCTCCTCTTCTTCTGATTCATCGTCAGAGAGGTAAATGAGTCTAGTCCACTACTGAGCGTACCGAGGAAAGCTGGGTCGGATGGAGGGTGTCGTCCTGTCAACACTTTTCACTCATACACACCACATTCTCCCTCATCCATCTTTCACTCCCACTAAACTTCATCTTTCCATCTTTAAAAATTCTTCTATCAAGTAGAAATCATTGACAGATATTTTAGAAATGTCTGTGTAAAGTGCTCATCCACCGCCGTGTGGATTGATGTCCGCTGTTCTGCTGAAAAGTGAAACAATCGCCGTATTGTTACTCACTACCTTTGTTGTTATTTTTCAATTTGCCAAATTAATGTAAATGTTGATGTTAAACTTTGATTCTGTAAATAAATGACCACATTCATTTTGATGGGTCAAAGATAAATAACGTCTCACGTTACATTTTATTAAATTCAATGCACGTTTTATTCAGTCCAGAAAAATGAGAGAATCCGTTTTAATTGATGAATATATCTCAGCATCTGTTCATCTACATACTGGTAGATGAACAGATGACCTTTTAATTTCTGTAGAGGTAACACTCTCTGCAACCTCCATCAGATTGTCCACTAACTCTTTTGGGTTCATGCTGTCCGCCTGTTTGCCATATGGATGTAAGGATGCTGTTAGCAGTGCTAACGCATTCTCCAAACAGTCCCTCATCTCATAAGGATCAAAGTCTTTTTCTACCACACCTGTCATGTTCATTCGCTGTGTAGCACTTTTTCTGGATAAAACAATTGCCAGCTTCAGATATTTTACAGGTTAATATATGTATCCTAGTGTTATTGAGTTTTCACACTATTTTAAGCTTTGGGTTTACACAAAAGTACTGTTATAAGTCAACTTATTCAACTGTGGGCACCTGTCCAGGTCTTACCCCAATTCATGAATATTTAAGTAAATGCTTCTATGCAGTGTTACTTTTTGTGTGCTTATTTCTTAACAGATACTAGATTACCAAGCTCTTTTTTAGTGTATTTTACTCTAAAGCACTGAATTTTTTAATAAACCTGCAATTTTCTAAAAAGTCTCACAGCACATCAGTTTAAAGATGTTTTTAAACCGTTTACTTCCAGAAATTCGCTATTTTAAACAGTTACTCATCAACCCAGGTGGGTGAAAAGAGAAAAGAAAATTGATGATGAGGAATAATCAGTCTTTTTTCAGAAAAACTGTACTCCTGTTCTCCTGCCAATATCTTCTATTTAAAATTAAATAGGAGATGTAATTGTTTAGGTGGTAAATAAAATCAGAAAAGTCTCTTTTTCCTGATATATTTACTCTTATTTAACGATCTAGCAATTAAACGTGCATTATCTCTCCAGCAAATGAGCAACTTATCAACTCTGTGAATATCTGAACCGTATCTTTTAAAAAGTTTCTAATTTTTCATTTTGTCCCTCCTGTTTGAGGAATTCAGTGAATGAAAAATGTCCTGGTAAATGCATTTCTGCATAAATACCTTAATTACTTTTTAAATGCAAGATAACAGTGATTATTCAGCTGTGAGGAACGTTTATTAACTCAAAAATGCCTTACAGAAAGAAAATACGTTTAATTCCACTCAAAAATAACCTAAAACTGAGTGAAACTGTGATCTCAAGTTCCTCCAGGAGGGAGCAGTGTTTAGCTTTCTACCAGCAGGAGTCTATGACGACTTCCTGTGACGTTCGGTTGACATCCTGTTGTTAGCCGCTTAGCTTAAAGTTAGCTTCGGCTAAACTCGGTT